TCTGCTGCATACAAGAAACACACCTCACCCTCAAAGACAGACATTACCTGAGAGTTAAAGGTTGGGAAAAATTTTCAATCAAATGGACCCAAGAAACAAGCAGGGGTAGCAATCCTAATATCTAACAAACTAGACTTTAAAATAAAATCAATCAAAAGAGATGAAGGAGGTCATTACATACTCATCACAGGTGAAACCCACCAAGACGAAGTGTCTATCCTGAACATCTATGCCCCAAATACAAAGGCATCCACATTCGTTAAAGAAACATTATTAGAACTTAAATCTCATCTAAAGCCCCACACAGTTATAGTGGGAGATTTCAACACCCTGGGTCAAAGAGGAAATAAAAAAAGAAATTAAAGACTTCCTTGAATTCAATGAGAATGAAGACACAACATACCCAAACCTATGGGACACTTTGAAAGCAGTGCTATGGGGGAAGTTCATAGCACTAAGTGCTCACATGAAGAAACAGGAGAACAGTTATACCAGAGAATTAACATCACAGCTGAAAGCTCTAGAACACAAAGAAGCAAACTCCCCCAGGAGGAGTAGACGCCAGGAAATAATCAAATTGAGGGCTGAAATCAATAAAGTAGAAACCAGGAAAACAATACAAAGAATCAATGCAACGAAGAGTTGGTTCTTTGAGAAAATCAACAAGATAGACAAACCTTTGTCCAAACTTACCAAACAGCAGAGAGTGAACACGCAAATTAACAAAATCAGAAATGAAAAGGGGGACATAACAACAGACTCTGAGGAAATCCAGAGAATCATTAGGTCATACTTTGAAAACCTGTACTCCACAAAATTCGAAAATTTAAAGGAAATGGATGACTTCCTGGACAGCTATCATTTGCCAAAACTAAATCAAGAACAGATAAGCAATTTAAATAGACCTATAACCCCTATGGAAATAGAAGCTGTCATCAAAAGTCTCCCAACCAAAAAAAGTCCAGGTCCAGATGGCCTCAGTGCAGAATTCTACCAGAAATTCAAAGAACAGCTTATACCAATTCTTCTCAAAGTGTTCCACACAATAGAAGCAGAAGGGTCTTTGCCAACCTCTTTCTATGGGGCTTCAATAACCTTGATCCCCAAGCCACACAAAGATACAACTAAGAAAGAGAATTTCAGACCAATATCCCTCATGAACATTGATGCAAAAATACTCAATAAAATACTGGCAAATCGGATCCAAGAACACATCAAAACAATCATTCACCACGATCAAGTAGGTTTCATCCCAGGGATGCAGGGATGGTTCAACATACGAAAATCCATCAACGTAATCCACCATATAAACAAGCTGAAAAACAAAAATCACATGATCATCTCACTAGATGCTGAAAAAGCCTTTGACAAAATCCAACACCCCTTCATGATAAAGGTCTTGGAGAGATCTGGGATAACAGGGACATACTTAAACATAATAAAAGCTATATACAGTAAACCAACAGCCAACATCAAACTAAATGGACAGAAACTCGACGCAATTCCTCTAAAATCAGGAACAAAACAAGGCTGTCCACTCTCTCCATACCTTTTCAACATGGTACTCGAAGTTCTAGCTATTGCCATAAGACAACAAAGGGGGATCAAGGGGATACAAATTGGGAAGGAAGAGGTCAAACTTTCACTGTTTGCAGACGATATGATAGTTTACATCAATGACCCAAAGAACTCTACCGGGGAACTCTTACAGCTGATTAACACCTTCAGTAAAGTGGCAGGCTACAAGATCAAGTCAAGAAAATCAGTAGCCCTACTATATACAGATGACAAAAGGGCTGAGAAAGAAATCAGAGAAACATCACCCTTTACAATTGCCACAAACAACATAAAATACCTTGGGGTAATGCTAACCAAACAAGTGAAAGACCTGTATCGTAAGAACTTTGAATCTTTAAAGAAAGAAATTAAAGATGCCCTCAGAAAATGGAAAGATCTCCCATGCTCTTGGATAGGTAGGATCAATGTAGTAAAAATGGCAATCCTGCCAAAAGCAATCTACAGATTCAATGCAATCCCCATTAAAGTCCCAGCACAATTCTTCACAGTCCTTGAAAGAACAATAATCAATTTTGTATGGAAAAACAAAAGACCCAGGATAGCCAAAACAACCCTGTTCATCAAGGCAACGTCCGGAGGCATCACCATCCCTGACCTCAAGCTCTATTACAGAGCTATAGTCCTGAAAACAGCTTGGTATTGGCACAAAAATAGACTGGTAGACCAATGGAATCGAATTGAAAACCCGGGTATTAACCCACACACGTATGAACATCTGATCTTTGACAAATAAGCTAAAAATATACAATGGAATAAAGAAAGCATCTTCAACAAATGGTGCTGGCATAATTGGAGACTGGCATGTAGAAGAATGCGGATCGATCTATGTTTATCGCCATGCACAAAACTTAAGTCCAAATGCATCAAAGACCTCAACATAAATCCAGCCACACTGAACCTCTTAGAAGAGAAAGTGGGTGGTACCCTCGTACGAATTGGTACAGGAGACAGCTTCCTGAACATAACACCAGTAGCACAGACAGTGAGATCAACAATTAATAAATGGGACCTACTGAAACTGAGAAGCTTCTGTAAGGCAAAGGACACAGTCAGCAAGACAAAAAGGCAGCCCACAGAATGGGAAAATATTCACTAATCCCACATCTGACAGAGGGTCTCCAAAATTTACAAAGAATTCAAGAAGCAAGTCTCCAAAACACCAAAGGACCCTATTAAAAAGTGGGCTGCAGAACTAAATAGAGAGTTTACAATAGAGGAGTCTAAAGTGGCTGAGAGGCACTTGAGAAAGTGCTCAACATCCTTAGCCATCCGGGAAATGCAAATCAAAACAACTCTGAGATACCATCTCACTCCTGTCAGAATGGCTAAAATCAAAAACACCAATGACAATTTATGCTGGAGAGGATGTGGTGAAAGGGGGACACTCCTCCATTGCTGGTGGGAGTGCCAACTGGTTTAGCCATTTTGGAAATCAGTATGGAGATTCCTCAGAAAAATATGAATAAACCTACCACAAGACCCAGCAACTCCACTCTTAGGCATATATCCAAAAGATGCCCATTCATACAACAAAGATGTCTGTTCCACTTGATGTTCATAGCAGCTTTATTTGTAATAGCCAGAACTTGGAAGCAACCTAGATGTTGCTCACCCGAAGAGTGGATAGAGAAAATGTGGTACATCTACACAATGGAGTACTATTCAGCAGAAAAAAATAATGGAATCACGAGATTCGCAGGCAAATGGATGACACTAGAAGAAACCATCCTGAGTGAGGTAACCCAGTCACAAAAAGAGAAACATGGCATGTACTCTCTCATATATGGATTTTAGACATAGATCTGGGGAGTGCCAGCCTACAATCCTATGGCCAGAGAGTCTGGGAAACAGCAACTTCATTTAGTGGCTGATCAAAGAAGAGGCAGACTCCCTTGGTTAAGTACTGAGCTGAACTCAAGAAAGCCAGTAACAGAGAGGGATGACTGATGATCAAAGGGATTAAGACTGGGCTGTTTTAACCCACAGAAACAGCTGACCAGACAAAGCTTAACTCTTGAATCCCAGGCATCAGCCTGGGAATCCAGCATGGGACTGATCAAGACCCCCTGAATCTGGGTGTCAGTGAGGAGGCCTAGGGAATCTATTGAGCCTTGGGCAGCAGATCAGTATCCATGGCATCATTTACTAATGATCAATATTATGACCTAATAGACATCTAAATAAGAGATACTGGACAGAGAATAAATCTTAGTGAAACATAAGATTTATGATAATGACTCCATTTCCATCCCACTTCTCCACTTTTGTCTCCATATAAGTTTATTCTGTGAAGACAGTGTTTTTAGTTTTCTATGCTTTTAAGAATGTCTTTAAGAATGTGCTTGGCTATGGTACTGCAATCATGAAATTTGTAGTTTCTGTGAACAGCAGGCCAAAGATCATGCAGTCTGGAGGTTTATGGAGAATAATAGGGAAATCTACCTGGCTTTAAACTCATGAGACAGTAGAAATTATGAGAAAGCCATTCTAATGTAAAACTACCTGCATCACTAGTGTAAGTCTCTGGAGTCACAGAGGTACATATGTAGTTATGATGTGTAGTGTGTAAGAGGATATGACTGTGGATTCTCTAGGCATGGTATTGTCATATTAGTGTGCCAAAATACAAGTTCCTACCTGTAGTTATGTCTTCCATTTAATTTGTCCTCCTTCCTATTCTTGTTCTTCAAATGAAATCACAGCGATTTTTAATGCTGGGTAAATTACACACAAAATACATGAAATTGAGTGCAATATAACTTAGAAGAATATGTAAGATACTGTATGAAGAATAAGTTCAGCAGTAACGTTGTATGACTAATGAGAAATAATATTGAATCAAAATAATAAAGGATGAAGTGGTATAAAAAAACCAGGAAACAACTGTTTATTAATCAGATGGTTCCATATAACCAGAAATTATTTGTTTTATTTAGTAGTTTCAGAGGTACAGAAGAGAAAAACATAGTACTTTAAAGGTGTAATTTTATTAGGAAACATTTTAACAAAGTTACAAGTTTTAGCTGATAGAAAGGAACATTTTTATACAGTGCCGCAATTTGTAAGTGGAAGACTGAATCATCTGGTTATTATGAAGCTCTTAAATCTTGTTCATTTATTTGTCTGCCCTCTCTCTATATTGTGGCTTCTTGAGTTTCAAAGCACTAACCTTGGCATGGGATGCACACTCACTAAATACTGTAACAAAAGGCAAATACAGCCGGGCCGAGTAGTGCGTGCTTGATATTGAAGCTGATGGCAATGATGGTGGTGATAGAGGAAGAGAAGGACTGGAAAGAAGGAAGGAGGGCGCAGGGAATAGGGGACAAGTCCTTTCATGACTGTATTAGTGGGAGACAGAGCATACCACTTTTCAGTCTTTGGAGAACTTTATCCTATTTTTACCTCCTTTTCTTTTTCAGGAAGAACCCCCAGCACAAGATGGAATACAGACACAGTGCACTTCCAGGTAAGTAACTGTACTTGAGTAAACACAAATGAGAATTCTCCCATTAAGCCAGTTATTTAGAAAATGTTGTTGCTTTGTGAATTATTGTTGCTGATTTGAATGATTGTCTTAGGTTATTTTTAATGAGATTTAAGTTGATTTTTTAAAAATGAAGTTTCAGAAACTGAGTATGATAGCTCATACCTGGAATCTTAACATTTGGAAGGCTGAGGCAGGAGGATTGCCTCAAGTCTGCGGTCAGCCTGGGCAGTACAACAATTCTCTGTCCCAAATAAATGAAAGAATTATAAGCTTGTATGTAGTAAATGCTTTTCCCCATCTTAGCCCAGCAGTCTGTGGTTTTCCCATGTCTGCCTGAGCAATGATGGAAGCACACTGACCTCTGTCCCAGATCAGACTGAGGGCAGGGGCTGGTTAGGGCAGTGCTTATTGTGTTATTTCATTATTACTGTCAGTAATGTCCCTGTTTCCTTTCATCATTCTGTCTCATAGGGCTATTCCTTCTAAAGGTCTTTCCTCTCAACGAGGAATTTCTACACCCTTATTAAGCTGGGACAGTAGAATCAGTGCTAACATCTGAAGAAAGAATGAACAACTTTTGATTCACGATTCTTATATGAAGTTGTGTATTTCGCTCCTTCAGCTAGCCCAGACCAAATTCTTCCCTTTGAATCAATCACTGTAGCTTGTGATTACTATGTGAACCTTCTTCAGTACTACCAGGACTGTTAGAGTGTAAACCTTTAGCTGTCCAGTTGATCTTTGTGTTACCTGTTTTTGAGCGCTTTAAGAATTTTCCTGGGGGGGGGGAAGAGTTTTCTTTTCAATAAACCTCAGCTTCTTTGGGTCCTGTATATAATGTAGAGACCAAGTCAGCAAATACTATTTCTGCCCCTGCGGAGGAAGAATAAAGCCTATGCTGTCAGGACTGTGCTCTCTAGTACTGTGTCTGCATATGTAAGCTGGCCGTGACAAGGCGATGAAGATAACTCACAATGAGAGAATCCACCAAGAGTCTTTTCATTATTGACCACTGCAGTGCATTAACACTGAGACAAGAGTGTACCCCTTTGTCTTGGCCGGCAGGGTCTAGAGGCAGTTATATATGCCGAATCTCTTTACTGGGTTGGATTTAATGATTTCCCAGCAATAATGTAATATAGTAAAGTATGCCAATATATTGTCACATATAAAGGCATTTGTGTATCTTTATGTAAGTAAGTAAGTAAGTAAGTAAGAGCTATTTACCTAAAGGGTAGCAGTATGCATCATATAGCATAGGTTAAAATGTCTGAATAGTCTTTGCAAAGTTTGTTGGAATTTTGTTGAAGTGTTTTCTAAATGAAGAATATACTTCAGACCTGTGAACTTAAAATTATTTTTGAGATTATAATGTAATTACAATATTCAACAGTAAATGTTTAAATAATTTTTTTTACTGGACAGCCACTTTTTCTTATTAGCAGCACAAAAGCACATACATATAGACCACTGTTTAACTAGGTAGCCTTAATCACTTCCTGCTATTTCAATTACTTGCAGTTAGTATTTGTCTGAAGTAAATAGAAAAATCATATAATAAGCCATAAGTCAGGTGTTGGTGGCACATGCCTTTAATCCCAGCACTTGGGGGGCAGAGGTAGGCAGATCTCTGTGAGTTTGATGCCAGCCTGATCTACAGACCAAGTTACAGAGAAACCCCGTCTCAAAACAAATAAAAAAGAAAAGTCATAAAATACATAACTATAAGCTTTTAACTACTGTTGTTTTATTTATTCCATTTCATTATTTTTGCTATTCATCTCTTATTGTGCCTGATTACAAATCAGGCTTTATCCTTGGTGTGTGTGTGTGTGTTAACTTGCTTCTAGCTCCCAGTGGAGATTTTAGAACAGCTATAAGTAGGGAGCAGCTCTGGGAACTCTTGGGAATCTCCATGTGCAGATGTAATTAGCACATCTTTGCCTCCTCTAAAACTTGTGGATCTGAAAACTTTAAATGGTAAATTAAATGTTGGGGTCTCATATTTCCTAATTCAGAGATATCTAAGACAGAATTCTGACAGTTGTTTTCTTATCTCCCAAAGTTTAATGCTTATCATTGCCCAGATCCTAATCTCATACATGTGTCATGTGTCTTTTGTGTGTAAAAGATCACAGGGATATGAGAAGTACCCCAAAGCTAGCGATCTTGACAGAATCAGTAGGACTTGCCAACTAATGTGTCCTGGAATGGAGGCCAGTGAGAGAAAAGAAACAGTGATGGCGTTGTACTGTAGTACAGGTGATCAGGACAGTGGCGATGGCCCTCCACATAGTAGAAGCAAGGAGGAAGAACTAGGTTCTTTTTTCTTTTTAAAAAATTAAACACTTTTCATTTGAGGTGGACATCCATGACTACATAAGATTGTTGTGCCCAAGTTGCAAAGTCCCCAGAGACCACCAGGGAGACAGACCCACTAACTGCAAAAGCAAGATTTTAATTGTTCATCCACCCATGACAGGGACCCTGCCTGACTAGCTGTCGCAGCAGCCTCCAGAGGGAGTGAAGTTCCCTGTCTACTGCTAGGTTTTATGGACAAAAGATACAGGATTACATCAGTAGGTACGGGTTGGTTTCTTATTGTTTGACATTTGGGAACAATTAGGAGAATTTCTCAAAGTCATATTTTGGCATGAAATACCTGTGTAACAGTTATTTTCATTGGTCAGTGCTGAGAGGAAACATTCTGTGGCTTCTATGGCATTGTCTTGTTACTTGCAGGTGGCCTGTTGTATGTAGATACCAATAGTTTTCAGAACTATATTCTGGAGACTACAGGGGAGGTTTTGGTCCCCCCAGGAGTTTGGCCAAGCAGTTCCCAGGAACCAAGCATCTAGGAGGCTGGTGGGGGGCGGTAAGGGCTGGAGTTTCTTTGTGTTCAGTTTTGGCCCTAGGCTCTGGAAGGCCAGAGGATCTGGAGTTTCCTTATGTCAGAGGCCATGTGTCTTTTCTGTAGCCTGTCATGGCTGCTAAACCAGGGGGCTGAGTGAGGGTCTGGTCCCTTTATTTCTAAGCTATGAGAAGTTAAGCCTTTGAGTTTCAGATAATGCAGTATAGCATAGTATCAGCATTAAAGCAACCACTCTAGAGGCTGGGTATTTCGCTTCTCATCTGTAGCCCTCCTGAAACGCTGGGTCCATGGAGGTTTTCCACATGTTGCAGCTGAGGTCTGCACTGCTTGTGTATTGTGTTGCCACCTGCCACGCTTCTTCTGTGCCTGCCTAACATGAGCCCTTACTGCTTTCCACACATTTTCAGAGTGCTAGAGCTTTGGACAGGATAGTGAATGCAAGAGAAATCAGTGCAAGGAAAATGCTGTCATACTTCCTGATGACATTTAAAAGCAGTTGTCACCAGCATTCACATCTTGTAAAGAGAAGCTTTTCCTTGCTAGCTGCTTTGGTTTATCCCCTGCCAGTCGCCTGGGCTCTGCCGCGTATCAGTCCCAAATAAACACACAGGAGGCTATATTAATTATGAAGCTGTTGGCCTTGTTTGTCTCTTACTGGCTAGCTCTGCTTTAAGTAATTACCCCATAATTGTTAATCTAAGTATGTCTCTTACCGGAGAATAGTTCCAGGCTTCCTACCCCATGCGGTTACATCTCGAACGCTCTTGTGTTTTTTCTTCCCAGAATCCTCCTGGACTCCTAGCCCCACCTATCTAGATTCCTATTGGCCAGCAGTAATTTATTGACATATACACAGGACTTCCCCAACATCTCCTCTTTTTTGTTTAAACAAAAAGAAAGGTCTTAACTTTAACACAGTCAAATTGTATATAACAGAACAGTTATCAAATAAGAACATAGTTACAATATTTTAGCAAGATTTAAAGAAAATATCATCCATCCCATCCTTGTGAGTCCAAAGTTCTATGTAGCTTATCCTTTATCATAACTAAGGAAAACTGTAATTATAACTATCTGTCTTCAACTCCATCAAAGACCACAGAAGAATAATATATAAACACTAGGATTGACAGAGGTATCTTACTGCCTGGACAGTCACCCGAAGTTCCTCTGTAATGTTGGGGCATCCATCTTCAGCCCATAGGCCACAATGTATCTGGAACACTTCTCAGCAAAGCAGGAAATTTCAAACTGTCCATCTGTGCTGGCAGTCTGGCAGTCATTTTTCTTTGTCCTGTAGAAAGTCTCTTAGACTCTTTCATGAAGCAGGAACCCTGTAAGACTGAGTTCAGCAGTCACTTTTCTGTGGGTCCTGCATGTCCAGATTATACAACAACAGTCAAACAGTCTAGGCAAGAGCAGTTTCTTGCCCAAATGGCTAATATTGCCATGTTGAAAGCAAACTCCATAACGAGTTTCTTCGATGCCCATTTTCCTCTGAGACATAATTGGTGCTGCCAGGAGCAGACATTTCTCATTGTCAAGAAAAACCCTAAACCATTTTAAATGCCATTTTTCTGAAGGTCTTTGAGAGGTTTGAAGACTATTTATCTGTCTCAAATACATTTCTATATATCTAGAAAACCTAACTTACCTAACTATAAATTCTGACTATTATAAGTAACTATCTATTGTCTGTATTTAATTATGCATTACATTTTAAAAGAACAGTATAAGTACAATACTTAGTCAAGAGGAGAAATATACTTATCACAAAATTGACTTTGAATTTGTATCAATAAATGAAAAACAATACCCATACCATAATTCCCCCTTTTACCATTAAAAGGAGATTGGTTGTGATCATTAACCAATTATAAACAATCCCATTTAAATGAAAACAAAGACTTATAAACAAGATGGGAATTGGGACATTGCTCATTCCAAACTGCTTCCTGCTGGAAGGGGGCGCTGTTCATACCATGGGGATCATGACAAAACTCAGAAACCTGTATAAGTCCTTATTTTCAGGGTCTGTAAAGCTGCATCATCTTAGCTGTTTCAATTTTTGGAACATCTGGTCCACTGCTTCCAGGGGTCTTGGTTCGTCAAACCACAGAAGCCTGGAAGGAATCTTCAGCTTTTCATTTTCTGTAGAAACATAAATAAAAACTCCTTTTCGGAGTAACATATCCTTATGCTTAAATTTTGAAGTCAAGGTATTTTCAAAAGATATAAGTTGTATTAATTTAGCAGCATTTATAATCAAATGTACTTTAGCAGTTGCTCCTTCCTTAGCAATGAAAAAACTGAAAAACACAATAGTGTACAGTATCCAGACTCTCTGTGTGATTTCCATCTTTACGTGGCTTATTTATTTATCTATTATTACTTTATTTCTTTCACTTTCATTTATTTTTCTCTGAGACAGGGTTTCTCTTTGGAAATCTGCTTGCCTCTGCCTCTGGAGTAAATCCTACCAGCGTGCGCCACCACAACGCTGGCTTTTGTATTTATATACCACTTTGCTGTTTTATTTTCTCTCTTAATCTCACGTATATTTTTAAACACACTGTAAACCTTTAGAGGTTTTTCTTTATCCAAGTTTGACTTTACTGTAAATCTTTATGTTTTTCTGGCCACGTGTCTCATTTGTAAAACCGCGGCTGTTTTAAACTGCCGTTTCAAGATGGCGGGTGTAAGCGTGACTCCAGCTTACTGCCTCAGTCTATGCTGACATCCAGCAAAAGCTGCCACTTCCAGCTGTACGTACACACCTTTCAATCGTTAGCAGAGTCTCTTAAAACAACCTTGCTGGCTGTGGTTTTTTTTTTTCTTTTTCTTTTTATGCCGAGTCAGGAAGACTCCCATAAGCGAGCTGCGTGGATCTCGGCTTGTCGCTAGCAAAACAGAGCACACCTGAGGAAAATGCTGCTACCAAAAATCTGTGCTTCTCTCCGTTCTTCTGTTTCTAAAATTCCTTTAAATCTTTTGTTATTTTGCATGGAAATTCGATCCCACTCCTGATCACCATTTTGTAAAGAGAAGCTTTTCCTTGCTAGCTGCTTTGGTTTATCCCCTGCCAGTCGCCTGGGCTCTGCCGCGTATCAGTCCCAAATAAACACACAGGAGGCTATATTAATTATGAAGCTGTTGGCCTTGTTTGTCTCTTACTGGCTAGCTCTGCTTTAAGTAATTACCCCATAATTGTTAATCTAAGTATGTCTCTTACCGGAGAATAGTTCCAGGCTTCCTACCCCATGCGGTTACATCTCGAACTCTCTTGTGTTTTTTCTTCCCAGAATCCTCCTGGACTCCTAGCCCCACCTATCTAGATTCCTATTGGCCAGCAGTAATTTATTGACATATACACAGGACTTCCCCAACAACATCTGACTTTGGGGTTGTTCTTTCAAGTTGCTTAGTATGTGGTATGCGTCTGTCTAGGAAACTGATGCTGTTACTATACAGAGTGATTACTGAAAACTGCTTCAAAGCTTTTAACCTTCTGTAGTGGTGTATACACACTGATAGGCCCCCTCCTTTCCCCAAGAAATGGAACCCCAAAGACCTAGAAAGAAAGCGACTAAGGAAGAGTAACAAGACCTACCTGAGATTCAAGCTGCTACTTAGATGGGAAGAGTCAAGTGGATAAGGAGTAAGGGCTGTCAGAGAGCCTGATGCAGTGGTGTGATAAAGTCCAGCAGATGTTTACAAGCTGCTTTTCCAAATGCAAAAACCAACTACCGTGTTAGTAAGTTAAAAAACTAAAAAAAAACTAAGCTGCACAGTGGTGGTGCATGCCTTTAATCCCAGCACTTGGGAGTCAGAGGCTGGAGAGAAAGCCTATCTGGAAGGGGCAGGACATAGCATAGCTGTCTGGGTTGAAGGTCTGGCAGCATGGTGTTATTAGGGACCCTCACTTCGATTCTCATGGGCCAGGGTAGTCACAGGGACTTCACAGTGTGGAGAGTTAGACTAATAAACAAATGATCACTTTAGTGCCCGTTGTTGTGTGGAATAGTATTTTAACTGGGAAAAGATTTGTTACATTTGTTTATGCTGTGGAATATTACTTAACTATTTAAAGGTGTGCTACATTTGTTTCTGCTGCATTTGTTTAAATATGTAAAGATATGCTGCTGTTTTACCTTGTCTGCCTAAGGCAACTGATTGGTCTAATAAAAAGCAGAACATCCAATAACTAGGCAGAGAAAGGGTAGGTAAGACTGGAGGGCGGAGAGAATAAGTAGGAGGAGAAATGTAGGTTTGTGTTTGTGTGTGTGTGAGAGGGAGGGAGGGGGGCAGCCAGAGAGAGAAAAGAGAAAGAAGAATGAGAGAGATGAGAACAGGGAGAAAGAGAGGGACACACCCAGGGTCAGCAGCCAGGCAGCTGCCAGACAGACAGACATAGAGGCAGAAGGAAAGTAAGATATAAAGAAAGAAAGGTAAAGAGCCCCGAGGCAAAACAGATAAAGAACAGATTCAAATAGGAGCTAAGATAAGGCCGAGCATTCATAACTAATAAGAAGTCTCTGTGTCACCATGTGGGAGCTGGTTGGTGGCCCAAAGGAGAAAGGCTGCTACAGCCTGTTCTAACACTCAAAGGAGTGAGTTAAATAGTAATTAAATCTTGCTGCAGGGAGGCGCTTTCCAACAGACATCCCTAACTGCAATTGTAGTGGTTGATGTGTTGTTTGCAATATGCTGTTTTTCAGTCAGAGCTGCTGTAGATGACCATAGTGATGATGCTGGGCACCCCAGTGAGAACGACTTGAATGACAGCTTCCCGGAAGACGATGAGGAGGAAGAAGGATACGAGCCGACAGATGAGGACTCTGACTGGCATCCGGGAAAGGACGATGAGGAGAAGGAAGACGTGGAAGAACTGTTGAAACAAGCAGAAAGATTTATGAAGAGGAAGAAGTGACTTTCCTGCAATAATAAAGCTCACATTTGCCTTTTCTCTATGGGAAACACCCAGACACTGAGTAGGCACTTCAGTAACCATTTAACACCAGCCTTCATTGAAGTAGGTGGAAGTTATGCTTTGCCTATTTTGGTGCCTGTTTAGTTTATCTGTTAGTGGAAGCAGGTAAAGAGGTTAGGCAGGGATTGATATTTTTTCATATACTTTAAACACTGCTGATAAAAACCATAGGTAGTACACACCTTTGGTTTTTGTAGTATCCTGTGTGAGCTTAGCCAGGTGATTACAGAACGTGGAGCCCTACACTGCTGTTTAAATAGTCCCTCACACAGCTAGACTTGACCAGTGTGACAGCCAGTGCAGTGTCTGTTATTTTTCCAATGCATTAGATGTGGCTTTGTGATTTCATTTACTGCTTTTGTCTGTTGAATCCTGGGAAAGTTATTAACAAATGCTGAAAATGATCCTGTTAAGCTATAGGGAAGCGGTGCTCACCTTCCAAGGAAATGTTTTTTGCACATCCCACAACTATGGTTTTTTTCCCATCATCCCCCTCCTTGATTACTTTGCTTGCACTGTGTAGCTTTACATGTAGGATGCCCAAAAGCTTCCAGTCATGGTATTCTCAGAGAGTCTCCTAAGCTTGGGTGAGAGGGAAATGTTCTCTGCCATGGTTAGGGTTCTGGCCTCTGAAGAAGCCCCTGCTCCAAGTTAATGAGGTACAGTATCTCCTCACTGCTGTCCTTGAACCAGACTCTCAGTAACTCTTTGCTTTAGGCAGCTTAGAGTTTCTAGGAGCTCAGTTTGCACTGTGAGTAGAGTCTGTGTATACAGAGCTGGGGGTGCATCAAGTTATGAAGCAGCAAGAAAGCGCCTTGTCATCATTTAAGAGGAAAAATGCACACTTTAGAAGAACAAAAGGTGCCCAACATGTTTTCTTAATTTCTCCATGTAAGTGTACAATTTAAATGTTACTTAAACCGAAGACAAACAAAATAAATATTTATACTACTATCAGTTACTTGGACTTATTTGCAAACTTATTTTTCCCCTCTGTGTTAGGTTCTCTAGAAGAACAGAGCCGATAGGAATATGCTACAGGGGGATTTATTAGATGGACTGCCTTGGTGAGGGCTGGGTAATCCTTATGACTGTCTTCACCCTGGAGAGGCAGAGGACCAGGAGCTGCCCAGAACATGAGGCTGGGTGAAGTCCTCAGAGTCCCAATCTGGTGCTGGTGGCCTAGAGGACTCCAGAGAGCTGCTGATCCTTGTCGAACCTTGAAAGCCAAAAAAATCAGATTCCAGTGTTGGCAAAGGATAGCTGCAGCAGAGGCAGGAGTAGGCTTGATTTCTCACCAACAGGGAATGAAGGTGGTGGCAGAAGCAGCATCACTTTCCCCACAGCTTTAAATCTGTACCTTTTGGTGGCAGCCCCTGGGGGGAGTGTCTCTGCCCCTCCCCCAGATAACCCTGGAGATACTTTCACAGACCTGCCCAGTGACACATGCCTTAGCTAATCCCAGACCCAACCAAGTTGACAAACCAAGATTGATACTCACACCTTCTATTGTCTCTTTATACTTGAGGTCCTCTGATACAGTGGTGTCGCCCCCCCCCAGTACTGGGATTATAGATGTACCATTACACCTGATTTATGCAGTGCTGGAGTGCTGGGAACTGAATCCTGGGTCCTACAAAAATACTCTACCCGCTGAGCCACATCCCCAGCTCAAAAGCAGTATTTAAAAACTCGGTTTACTCTCTTGGATCCCCTGACCTGGGGAGTGCAGCAGGTCTGACTAACCCCAGAGAGATGACCAAGCAACCAGGAACCTGCAGAGAGAGCTGGTCTACTCCTGCTGGCACTCAGGACAGAGGACAGAGAGCAGAGAGCAGAAGCCAGAGAGTATTGGATTTGCCTGCACCCATTGAAAGGGAACTCTGGTCTCCTACCCACCAGAAGAGGAAGAGGCTCTTTCTCCACCCACTGGAAGAAGTGATGGGAAAGAGACACTATAAGAACATACCCAGCAACTGAAAAACAAATACGACACCACCAGAGTCTAGAGATTCTGCACCAGTAAGACCTGAACACCCCAATGCGGATGAAGCAGAAGGGAATGACCTTAAATAAATCTTCATGAAAATGATAGAGGTCCTCAAGAGGATATAAAAAATCCCTTAAAGAAATTGAGGGAAAACAACCCAACAAATACAACAAATGCAAGAAACGGAGGAAAACATGAAGCAAAAATTACAAAAAACAATTCAAATACTGTAAAGGTTGAAAGCTGACATGGAGACAATAAAAAACCACAGTCTGGAGGAATGCTGGAAATAGAAAAGCTGAGCAAACGGTCAGGTACTACAGATGCAAGCATAAGCAACAGAATACTAGAGATGGAAGAGAGAATCTCAGGTGTTGAAGACACACTAGGAGAAATAGATTCGTACACCAAAGAAAACCTTAAGTCCAACACATCCCTGACACAAAACATCCAGGAAATATGGGACACCGCGAAAAGACCAAATGTACAAATAATAGGTCTAGAAGAAGGTGAAGAAACCCAATTCAAAGGGGGCAGAAAACATTTTCAACAAAATCATAGAAGAAAACATTCCCAACCTAAAGAAAGACTCGCCAATGAAGGTACAAGAAGCTTACAGAACAACAAATAGAGTGGACCACAAAAAGTCCCCTCGCCACATAATAATCAAGACCCCAAACATACAGAATAAAGAAGGAATATTAAGAGCAGCTAAGAAAAAAGGTCAAGTAACATATAAAGGCAAACCTATCAGAATTACACCTGACTTCTCCATGGAAACTCTGAAAGCCAGAAGGTCCTGGACAGATAGTCATTCACCACTAAGGGACCACAGATGCAAGCCCAGACTACTATACCCAGCAAAGCTTTCAATCAATATACATGGAGAAAACAAAATATTCCCTGACAAAACCCGATTTAAACAAAACATAACTTACTAACCTAGCCCTACAGAAAGTTCTAGAAGGAAAACTCCAATCCAAGGAAGTTAGCTACAACCAGACAAACATAGGCAATAGATAATCCCACTTTACCAACAGCCAAAAGAGAAAAGGGGTGGAAATCCACACACGATTCCACCACCATCAACCATTCCAAAACAAACAAGAATGAGCAATCAAAGGTCATTAATATCCCTCAATATTAATGGTCTTAACTCGCCCATAAAAAGGCATAGGCTAACAATGGATTCGAAGACAGAATCCATCCTTCTGCTGCATACAGGAAACACACCTCAGCTTCAAAGACAGATGTTACCTCAGAGTTAAGGGTTGGGAAAAGATTTTCCAATCAAATGGGCCCAAGAAACAAGCAGGGGTAGCAATCCTAATATCTAACAAACTAGACTTTAAACTGAAATCAATCAAAAGAGATGAAGAAGGTCATTTCATATTCATCATAGGAGAAATCCACCAGGATGAAGTCTCGATTCTGAACATCTATGCCCCTAACACAAAGGCATCCACATTGGTAAAAGAAACATTACTAAAACTCAAACCACACATAAAACCTCACATACTTTATAGTGGGAGACTTCAACACCCCACTCTCACCACTGGACAGGACTACCAGACAGAAACTTAACAGAGAAGCAAAGAAACTAATAGAAATTATGACCCAATTGGGTTTGGCATCTATAGAACATTCCATCCAAACACAAAAGAATATTCCTTCTTCTCAGCACCACATGGAACCTTCTCAAAAAATCGACCACATACTTGTCAACATAGCAAACCTCAACAGGTACAAAAAAAAAACTAGAATGACTCCATGTATCTTATCAGACCACCATACGTTAAAATTAGAATTCAACAACAACACAAATTACAGAAACCCTACAAACTCATGGAAATTGAATAATGCACAATTGCGCCACTCCTGGGTCATAGAAGTAATACAAAAAGACTTTCTAGATTTCAATGAGAATGAAGACAGGACATACCCAAAATTATGGGACACTCTGAAAGCAGTGCTGAGAGGAAAGTTCATAGCACTAAGTGTCCACATGAAGAAACTGGAAAATAGTCACACGAGAGAATTAACAACAAAACTGAAAGCTCTAGAACAAAAAGAAGTAAACTCACCCAGGAGGAGTAGATGCCAAGAAATAATTAAATTGAGGGCTGAACACAATAAAGTAGAAACTAGGAAAATGATACAAAGAATCAATGTAACAAACAGTTGGTTCTTTGAGAAAATCAACAAGATAGACAAATCTTTATCCAAACTCACCAAACAGCAGAATGTGAACATGTAAATTAACAAAATCAGAAACGAAAAGGTTGCTTCCAAGTTCTGGCTATTACAAATAATGCTGCTATGAACATAGTGGAGCAGACGTCCTTGTTGTGTGAATTTACATCTTTTGGATATATGCCTAAGAGTGGAATTGCTGGGTCTTGTGGTAGACTGACTCTTTGGGAGTTACACATCATGCACTCCAATCCCACTCATTTCCCAGTCCCTCCATGTCCACCTTTCACCCCACCGGCTCCACCAAAGTAAAATTTTAAAAGAAAGAGATACAAATAAAAACATTGATGAAAAGCAAGCAAAACAACAATAAAAAGAAAAACAGGCAAACCAAACACTATGCTCCTCCATCTCTCCCATGTGTCTATCACCTCTACATTAGGATTAACGCACTGGAAGCTGCAGTGTGTCACATGTACCCTTTTGTCCTATCAGGTTTACTTGCAATTGCTCAGTGCAATGTGTCATTGGTCAGGCCCATGGTTCTCTTCTACCCACACAGGCCGAGTGACAATGCTCAGGCACGTGGGTGTCCTTCATCTGCCCTCTTTCCTTATGCTTTTTAAAAAACAGATTAATTTCCAAAAGTGAATCATACTCCATTTCCATCTTAAGAATTTTCATAACATATAGTGTTTCCCTTTTTTAAATTTAATTGTCATTTCTGAACAGGATGTGGTGATACTCATGGTACTACACTGGAGAAGGGAAGAGAATAAAGGGTTCAAGGACAGCCTTGGCCACATACCACTCTGAGGTCAACTAAGCTACATAAAGCTTTACCTCAAAAAGCTAAAACAAAATCTATATTACTGAGGTAATTTATTTTTTCTTCTCTGAGCTCTGCAGAGAGACGGCAGAGGGAGAGAAGACTTCCTGTAAAGCGTGTCTGCTTGCTTTGTTGTCATTTGGCTCATCTATTGGTTGGTATGGTTGTCTTTTCTTATTGTGAAAACACATTTTCCAGAAATTTTCTTCCTTCTTTTTAGTCTTTTTATACTGTCTTTCTTGAGTGCTCATCAGTGCTTGTCTATAATTAAGAGGGCTTCTTTCCTTCATGAGACTCACTTCCTATAGGACACTCTGGTAAATGGGAGAGAAGACGAATCAGTTCTTGGTCTATTTGTGCTGCAGTAACAGGGTACCAGAGGCTGGCATTATAGAAGGAATGTGAGCCTCACAGCTCTGCAGACTGCATCCAGGACTAAGATGCTGTCAAGCTTGTTCTTTTTTAAAAGATTTTTTTTATTATTTTAATTTTAAATAGCTTGTTTTACATGTCAATCCCAGTTCCCTCTCCCTCCTCTCCTCCCCCCCCATTCCCTATCCTCCCACCCTATCGCCATTTCCTTCCACATAGGGGATATCTAGAGTCTGTCATTTCACTCAGGGTAGGGTCCAGCATAAATTGTCTTCGGTGTATTTGATTTTAGCCATTCTGACAGGAGTAAGATGGTATTTCAAAGTTGTTTTGGCTTGCATTTCCCTGATGGCTAAGGATGTTGAACACTTTCTTAAGTGTCTCTTGGCCATTTTAGCCTCCTCTATTGAGAATTCTCTATTTAGTTCTGTACCCCACTTTTTAATT